CGTCACGCCACCCCCTCGCTTGTTATAACAGTGAAAAGGCCGGATGACTCCCAAAGCCTTGTGTCTCCAGTTTCCGCGTTCTTCCCTTTACGGAAAAACCCTTCTTCCTGTGGCGAGGCCAATCCTCTACCAAGCGTCCCTAAATAGATGCCATGAGGCACGCTGGCTAATACGTTACATGATATAACATGAGATTTTAGTTCATACAATTATGTGATGGTTAAACCTATGTTTAAATAGTGGTTTAAAAACTGCTTTTAAACAGATATAATTGTTTTTAATTTTTTTCACTATAATGGTCATTGTTTAAAAATCTGAACAAAATAAGTTATAGAATATTAAGAGACAGTAATCCAACATTATCACGTCGAAAATTAATTTCCAAAATTTATTAATTTTTTCTATTTAAATTTGGGGCCAAAATTGGTTGACGAAAGTATCTTCCAATTCAACTATTTTTCTCCGTATCTCCATTTTTTCAGCCTGATACATGCAATAGAAGCTGTGAAAAAAATGAAACATAAAAAACATGTTTCTTATCTTGTATCACTAGAAGCTTGGGGGGAATGTATGAGATATTGTATCCCCTTTCATATAATATCATTTTCCCTTATCGATTTCGTTTAGGGCACTTTTCAAGCACTTTTCGGCTATCCCTTCGAGCACATACCTTTCGGCGAAATCAGCTCTCTTGACGCTGCCTCCAAAACTCCACACCAGGCGTCCTCACGGCTGCGACCATATTCCAAATTCCACTTTCAAGCGTCCATACTTATTAGTTTCGTGACTTTCGTCGTACGAATACTGTTTGTCGCAACACGACTTGAATTATTTTTACTTTTAAGATTCATTTTCGCACTATTCAGTTAATAAAATTGTTCATTCAAATAATTATCATTATTCTATATTTACTTCGATGCGTGGTTGTACTTTCGTTCTTTTCTGAAATAAAAGTTAGCTTCTTTAAAACACCCTGGTCACGACAATACATTCGCATCCTCCCGAGACACAATACGTTCCGCTGAATTTATTTTAGTTCATGTTAATAATCTTCTTTCACTCGACAGTGTCTTGTTTACGTTGTTTTTTTAGGATGTTCGATGTTATTCTCTCTTTTCACTATTGCATCATATAGGTTATTTTGTCTTCCCAATAATGTCCTCCCATAAAATATATACTTATGCAATTTACTAATAAAATATTTTCAATAATTAATGGAAATTATCCCTTTTTTAACGCTTCCCAACAATCAAACACCCAAGTTCACTTTTCTTCTCCTATTTACCTCGAATTATCCGAACTTGTGGGGGAATTCGTCCACAAGTTCTAATTTATATTTATAGGATACTAAGATTCGACTCAATAGGAAATTTTTATTTCCTTTAAACCATTTTTTCTTTAAAAGCCGCACATTTTTTTATTTGATTTCTACCTTAGCGTAAAGGACACTTAAGAGACTGGGTCAGGTCTCATTTTCGTTGAAAAGACTGATTTTCCAAAATATGAAAAATAAAAACTTGTTGGCATCTTCCTACAACTATAATTGTAAAGATGCTATTTTGGCCTTAAATGTAACTTCAAATTAACTTCTCCCCATCGCACGTCACAAATAGATTTTATCTGTTTTTTCGTAAATAAATTTAAAAAATGAAATGTCATCAAAAACATATCTTCAAATATAATCATGTTGAATTTTTCGAAAATATGGGTATTTTTGGTGTAATGTGGCGTCATAGTCGCCTGCTCCAAATTTCCTGAATTTCGTGAACGTAATATGAGAGTGATTCCAGGCAGTTGAATGTTACGTAAGTTAGAATTTGTATATTATTTTGTCCGTTATTTACAATGGAGCTTTTGATTATATGTTTACAAAATAAATTTTTAGAAATTATTTAAAAAAACATTTAAAATATGCGAAAGAAATATTGATAGCCTTCAGGGAATATCAGATTGGAATGCAACAATGGCATTCCGTGCCGCAAGACAGCAAGCTGTATTTCTGTTAATTACATCTCAATGTTGGGACATTATTTAGCTGAAATCTCGAAATTTATTTTCGGCAGCATCAGGTACAAGAGAGGAGAGGCAACTAGGCCCCTTTTCCATTATTTGTTTCATTTACATGCGGTATATTTTACTTCGAGCATTCGCGCTGTTGTAAAAAGTGCAACAATCGAACATTTTTCATAGCTACATGAAATGCGCTTCAGTAGTAAATTCCTTCTAGGTTTCGTTTATGAACACTTCTTTGTAGTTATATCAGAAACAGAGATAGCTTTAATCGTTTGATGAGTTGCGAGAGAGAAACATGAAAGAAATGTGTTTCAAATTTATTGAAACTTCCGAATGTGAATTGAGGGAAACTAAATGAGGCGTAAATGTTTTTATTAGGATTTAACTTAATTATTTTGGAATTAATGCCACCTGAAATTTTCCGAAAAACCGCGCATACCAACAATAAAAATGCTAATTTCTCCTGCCACATTGATCGTAGAGGACTGAGATTAGGCTCAAATAAAAGCTCATATACATTATTTAAGATTATTTATAGTTGTATTTAATTTTTAGATCAATCACTCATCAAAATATCAATTAATTATATAAAAAAAATAATTTTCCAAATTTCGTAAAAATAAAAATTTATTTTACGAACAATACTATATTTTTAGTTTAATGTACTACAAATGCGCAAAATTTCAAATTTGTATATTTATAAATAATGTAATTAAAAAATATTAATTGAGCGCGTGCCCAGTCACTGTACTGCCAAGATGTTTCAATATTAGTAATACTTCGAACATTGAAGATCGGAAAGAAACATGGAGTCTGCATAATTTTTAAATGTCTAGGTATGACTACAAGGATTATTTTTAAACCTGTAGCTGTCACTTTATATTTTTGACAACTGATGACTAAAATAATAATGTGAATAATTGAAATTCTGGAATGAAAAAGTGAAACTAGTTATACAAAAATTCACTTTCGGGGATCTATTATTTTATATATTAGATATGAGAGCTATGAGCATATTGTTACGCTCCCACGCAGTCCCGGCGACGTGGGATCGTCGGAAATGCGCGGTAGCGGCCCGGCCCTAGCTCAGTCGGAGTCTCCTACCCTTTCCTATCTTAACATTAAGTGATGGAAGGAATTACAAGGTAAATTCATTGAATTAGCACATTAAAAAAACAATCTGGTCACTGGTAAAAGAAAAACAACATTTATTTCTGGTCCACTGTACCAGAGAAGTTACACTGATAAAAAAGGAAGATTGTGAATGAATGAAAAATGAGAAAGAAATTACAACCAAAGAAGAAATTATACATAAAAAGTATCCTATAACTAAAATTACACGTTTGTCCTAGTGAGGGCTTTTCTGTGCCTCAGCGCGGCACTGCGTTGAAAATTGTCTTTAAGGGTTTTTGGCCCTGATTACGTTGCCTGGGTACCTTCAGTGGCAGATGTGCTGCAGTGGGCCCGTGCGGGGCGCGGCGGAGCTTATAGATGGCCGGGGTGGCTTTCCCAGGAATGTGGTTGTGCGGGCGCCCCCACCAGAGTGGCGCCAGCGGCGGCTGGCGGCGTCAGTGGCAGGCAGTGACTGCGCGGGGCGGTGACGTCAGCGAAGGGTCGTCTGGAGGCTGCTTCGGCGGAGCGGAATAAGCAGTGGCAAAGATTCGCAAATCCCCCCGTAAGTGCCTTTGCACTTCCTCTCCTCAAGAAACTTCAAGTGAGTGCGCGCCTCTCTCCTCAGAGATGCGCCCTCCTCACTTGATTGATTTCCATTCCCCCACCCTCTATTCCTCGTATGTTTTGAATTCCCTTCTTCACTTTGACGGTCTAGTCACTATTGGTCTTACTTAGGTGTCTTACTTAGATTTCGGCCAATAATCTCCTGCTGTTCTTGGAAATTTTCCATTCTCCCTCTCTCCCTAGAGGTGCTGTCTTTCTCTGTCGTTCGGGACGTATCCGTTGTCGACTAGAAAGTAGGCCACGTCTATGGAGGGGTTTCCCGGATAATAATGAATTATTACTTTGTACTTCCCCGGTATCGGTGACAAGCGTCGCGAAAACGTTCCGGACGGGGTCGCAGCGGAGCGCCTGACAACTCACCCTTCCCTCCGGCCATCGGGGTTCCATAAATTGTCGAAGTGGGTCAGGGGGGTCGTGGCTGTCGCAAGAGGGGGGGAGCGTGCGCGTGGCGCCGTGGGTTCTTCCTAAGTACAAACTTTTCCTTACGTTCTATTTTATTTTATTTTATTTAGTTAAATAATACCGTAACGCTACAATGTATTTATATAGCAGTACAGGTAGTTTGCAATTTTTAATTTTAATTTTCGCTGAAGGTATACGACTGTAATGAAAAAAGAATATATGAGAATTATTTTTGCTATTACATGAATACACCAAGTTTCAAAAATTTAAAAATATCAAGGTCAATTTTTCGTCGAATTCGTTCGATTTGATAAATGAAATTCTGAAAGTCGTCTCTACATAAAGATATTGTGGCCTTCTTCAGAGCGTACTGCACAGCAGTCTCGCACACAGCACGCTGGCCGAAACGTTAGCCACTATGACATTGACGCGGCTCGTCCCGGATAGCCTAGACAACATGAACTCCGGCCGCGGAAGACTACGGAACCACAACAGAATGTGTATACCCGCGTGAAGCAGGTAAAGGCATTTTGTTGGAACAAATTTCAGACGAGACTACCAGGGAATCAAACAGAACCTCCTTGGTGAATGGCAAGCGACATTCTCTCTGAATCACGAATAGCCTAATTCTAAATGTTTCAAACTTTTTAATACAAAACTATTTAAATGAGTTTTATTATTATCTCCTAAATGAATATCGTAATTAAAGATAAATAATAGTATTTGCAAGAGGGATCCAAAAGAAGTAGAAACAAAATCTGCCACTTCACGAACTGTAAGAATTCCGTAGGTAACACAATTATTTCATACATTGTTTTCTCATTGGCAGATTCCTTTTTGCCTATTTCTTGCCAATATATGCAAATAAATTATACTTTTTAAACAAAATTTTCCTTGACTATAAAAATTCTTATTCAAATAGAATATACACAGTGGGTATAAGATTTAGAAAATAAAACATTTTGTGAAATTACTTTGCAGATGATTTTCTCTAGTGTTTAATGCAATTGTAAACTGGATATGAACATTGGAATAGCTGACACTAGATAAAACCATTTAGGGAACTCTTCAGCACCTCATTGTGTAAAGTAATTGGCACCCACAACAACTCACACAATGTCAAGGAAATATTAAATTTTTGAAACAATCTGTTATAAGAAATAAGTCAAGCTATTTGAAAATAAAAAGAGTAGAACAATATAATCACATTCACATGGTACAAACGAAGAATATGAAAAATTATTTTACAACAAAAACAAAAAAGGGAGGTTGCACCACCTATTGTATGGAAAATAATTAATCATAGGAACTCATCTTGGCCTGAAAATAAAGAAAGCCTGATTATAAAAACTTTCGCTTTTTCCAGCCATAAATAATAGAATCAAGTCGTACATTAAAAAGAATGAATAATGACAATTGTACACTTCAAAATTTTACAAGTTTACCAGAAAGAGGTTTTTCATGGATCACTTTCAGCTGCTTTTATTTGAAAAAAGACTTGAAGAGCCCAGTGATCACTAGGATATAACTGGTTATTGATCACTTTCTGCATGCCAAGTAAACCAAAATGTTTTGGAACAAGTGTTCGAGGATGGGCATGACGGACATATAGTCGATCCAATCTGAATTTTGGTTTGAATCTTCCAGGAAACTTTATATTTGTATTTTGCTGCATATCCCAAGTGTACTGGTATTCTTTCCTTGATCCACACGTTATCCATAAGTCATCAATTCCAGGAGGAATTCCACCAAGAGAATCCAACTGCATAAAAACAAAAGAAATTGGATACATATCACACACAAAATCTAATAAACAATATAAATAAAAAAAACTTTAACAAACAATCTAAAATTATAAAACCATTAAATTCATTGAAAATGTGTTCAATTATATAGGAAGCAATTACACTGTTCTAAAAGAGTTTTCCGCGGACCCGTGTCAACGCACGGGCTCGAAGGGCCCCAAATAGTTCTTAAAATATTATTTCATTCTAAATTTTTAAAAAAATAAAATAAAACTAGTGGTGCTACACAATGTCACAGACTTTCCCGCATTAGTTTTCTATTTCCTTTGGTCCCGGCTAGCTATTGGACTTGCCACATCTCTTGCCAGCTCAATCGCTGCCCAACGTACAATTTTTTGCATTTTAAAGTTGGGCACTCACATTGGGCCAAAAACATCTGAATGTACTAGATCACTTATTTCCGCTTTCTTCTCTGAAACCTTCGTGAAATGAGGGTCGGCGCATATTCCCCTGCAAGGTTCTGCATTTGAAGTCAGCATTAAGATCGTTGATTCTGAGTCCTAACTATCATTTTGTCTTCATAGCCTTGCGCAGGTCTTTTGATTTAAATGTCCTAGGGGAATGTGCCACTCTTCTAATGCGTATCTTCCTAGACTCCTAGGTTAATTGTTTTCTTCAACAATTCTCTTGCATCCGTGTCCAGCTTGACTACGAAAATAGTACACGCCATTCACCCGATTTGCAGTAAATAGTAGTTCCTGTCGCCATTGAAAACTTCGGCTTTTGTCTTTCCAAAAAGGACAGTGTTTCCTTAGATAGTGACTTACCGATATCAAGTTTCTACGTAAGTCAGGAACAAACGTGTTCTGAAAGCTGGTAACTTTCTTGCTGCCGTTTGCATGTAAAATTGTCGATACACTACCCTTACCTTTCACCTCAATACTCAAGTTACTGACTAGGTTGAGATTTTCATGAGCCGTTTTATCAATATCATTGAACCAATTCATGTCTTTGCACGTATACGAAGTGCATCCACTATCGCGACACCAACTGTCGCTACTTACGCCGTTTTTGGTTTGAGAACACTTGCTTGACGCTGCATTTGATGAAACACAAAGGGATTTGTATTTCCCACTGCTTGCAAACTGTTGAGTTGACTTTTTCGACTGCTTGCAATTACTGGCGCGGTGTCCGACTTCCCCGCAATTGTAACTTTTCATCCTTGCGTCCTTGTTGATCGCGTTCTCTCTTCCGATTACTCTTACCGGGTTTTCCAGCGACCATCACGTTCTGATTTATGCTTCGACCATTGTCTTTTCGAGCAAAGAACATCTCTCCGATCTTGGTACGCACGTTTTCGGGTGTAGGCGTCGTCACGCGAATTTATGGCGCACCGAAAGTTTTCGAAGGCGTTCGCACCAAGGTTTTCGAAGGAAACTGCGTAACAGTACGATAGTCAACAAATCTTGATTGATATCTACCTCCATTTCTGCAAGCTTGTCAACCTCCCTGAAGAATTATCGGGTGAGTTGTCGAGCGTCGTCTCCATCCTGCATTTTCGTCGAGATGAGTTGGTCTTCCGTGCGGGTCCTTTGGACTGATATATTTCTGCTTACCCCACAGAGCACGAGAGGTGTCACATCCTTCAATTTACTTAACCTCAGATGGTTGGATTGCAACGATAATGTCCGACTGTGCTTTCAAATCTTCATTGATCCATATTTGTACTGCGTGTGTAATGTCTGTTGTCGATTCGGGTTATACAATTGCGACGCTCGACGAAGAGTGGGAAAAGAAAAGCGAGGAAGAGCAGGAGTGTTCATAGCTGTACATAAAAGATTGGACAAAAATATTCATAGGTGGGAAGCAATTGATGAGAGAATAACATGTCTCGATCTTGTACTAAGATGACGCAATGTTTTTATTATAGGAATTTATGCTCCAATATGCGATGCAAGTGTTGCAGAAATAAATAAATAAATAAATAAATAAATAAATAAATAAATAAATAAATAAATAAATAAATAAATATGTATATATTTAGAGAAATTGACTATGCTTCTGGATTCTATTGGAAATCGCAAAGAAGTGGCGCTTCTAAATTGTAATATAAGAGTTGGAAAACGAATGGCGCATAATGTTGTGAGGCGATATGGTAAAAATGTATTAAATAACAACGGAGACTGACTTATAAAGACATGCGAACTGTATGATCATAAAATATTGAATGGTTATTTTCCACACAAAGAAACACATAAATTCACGTGGACCAAGCACTAGAAAACTGCAATCAATAATTGACCACATAATTACTAAACAACAGTCATCGATAAAGAGGAGCGATGTTCGGGTTCAAAGAGGTGCATTTTTGTACAAATTGCGCATGGCAAAAAAATTAAAGTACATTCCAATAGGAAATACTGAAGACAAATACAAATTTTTAGAAAAATGCACTCATGATGCAGCTAAGTGAAAAATGCACTCATGAAGCTTTGTGAGAGAAGGGAAAATGTGAGTATAAACAAAAAGACTTGTGGTGGACATAAGATATAAATAACCTGGTTGAAGAAAAGAAAAAGTTATATTTGAGATGGCTTTCAACAAAGGAATTTAGAAGACAGGAGTGAATATAACAGAATGAAATATTTGGCCAAGAAAGAAGTGAAGGCAAAAAATGTATTCTGGTAAAACAAATGTGACAGATTAGACAAGTGCATTGGTAACACCAAATCCAGAGAGGCATGGAAAATGTTACGTTCCATGAAATTGAATGCAAACCAAGAATTGCATTTATGCATGAAATTGAATACAATCCAATTGGTACTGAAAAATGGCAAAAATACTATGAAACCCTTTTGACAGAAAATATAATATTTCAGGGAATAAATTATGAATCACTGCACGTAAATTCGATCACACCAGATGTAACTTTGAAAGAGGTAAAAAAGTGTTAAGAAGTATGAAAAATAATAAAGCACCTGGGCCTGGAGGTATATCCATAGAGCTGGTTAAACATTATCCTATTGTAGGTTTGAAATTAATTACTGAAATATTCAATGGCATTTCAAAATGAGGTAAAATACCTGAAAAATAGAAATTCGCCTATATAAATTCAATTTACAAAAAAGTCTGTGAAAAATATTGTAATAATTATAGAGGAATAAGAGTGACTTCATCTTTGGTTAGGCTGTATTAACGTGTGCTAAAGAGTAGAATTGAAATGCAAACATCAGACTCAGAAGAGCACAGTGGTTTTAGACCAGGAAGATCCTGTATTGACAATATTATCTGTCTCAAACAACTGATGGAAAAAACAATTGAGCGACGAAGAGAAGTTCACATAATTTTCATTGATCTCAAAAAGGCTTATGATAATTTACCAGTAAAAAAAGTATGGAGGCAATAGAAGAAAAAGGACATACGTAACTGCAGTCAGACAACTTTATAAAGATAACATAAGTCAAGTAAAAGTGGGAAAATGTCATTCAGACAACTTCCCAGTAAATAAAGGATTACGGCAACGCTGTTGTTAATCTCCAACCCTGTTTAAGATATACATCGATAAAGCCCTAAAAGAATGAAAAAGAATATGCAGAAGCATGGGTGTGAAAATAGGTGATGAAATATTGTTTAGTCTACTATTTGCAGATGACCGGGTGATAATGGCTGAAGATGAAGATGATGTAACTTATTTGTTCAGAAAATTAGTAGAAGAGTGTGGAAAATGGGAAATGGAAATAAATGTACAAAGGACTGAATCTATTGGGGTGGGAGGTATGCTCCATGATTTGGAGATTAGTATAGGATTAATTAAAGGTAATACACAATATAAATATTTGGGAGTCACACTAACAGCAGATGGTAGAGACGAATAGGATGTAAAAAATAAAAATATAAAAGGAAAAATAGACACAAGACAGTTGAATCCAGTACTATGGAACTCCATTATTTCAATGAAGACAAAGAAACGCATAAATAGCTCTTTCATAGAGGGTACCACACTCTATGGGGCAGAAGTCTTGACACTAACAAAAAATTTGAAAGACAAACTTCAATCAACAGTTCTGGCATAGACGTTATAAATTTTCTCTGTTAGACAAAATAAAAAATGATGAAATAAGAAATAAAATGAAAGTGCAAACAACCTTGAACAAGACGATCGAAATGAAACAATTAAAATGGTACGGACATATGAGAAGGTTGAAATCGGATAGACTTCCACAAAAAGCTTGGGAGTGGACACCAAATCGAAGAAGATACAGGGGAAGACTGAGAAAAACGTGGAACATGGCAATTACTGAAGGCATGGAAAAAAGAGAAATGGAGGGAAACGATATATGGGATAAAGAGGCTTGAAAATTGGGATGCGGAAAACAGCGAAGGCTGTAAAAACCGCTATTTAGATAGATAGATAGATAGATAGATAGATAGATAGATAGATAGATAGATAGATAGATAGATAGATAGATCTATCAAACAAGCCTTGTCTAACGAAAATTCAGAAGAGTGGAGAAAGCCTTGGCAATAGAAGTGAAATCAATAATGCAAAATAAAACTTGGAAGCTAGTGCCCTGATCAGTTTCAGAGATGTAATAAGCAGTCGATTTGTCCTACGAAACAAATAGCATTTTGGAGAAGCGAAAGGCAAGAATTGTAGCAAAATGGTACTCACAACAGTACATCAAAGATTTCCACGAGACGTTCGCCCCGGTTGCTCTTCTCGATTCTATTCGGCTGGCGATTGCACTCGCAGCACGACATCAAATGCATATTCGGCAATATGATGTAGCAACGGCATACTTAAACGGAACATTGGACGAAGACGTGTTTATAGAAGTTCCGAACGAGATGGAAAAGGTTCTTGAATATTCAGAACAAAAGCACGGTAATGAAGCTGTTCGAGCGGCCGAGATCATGCTGAAAGAGCTGTCAAATGGACACAAAGTATGTCAAATGAAGAAATCTCTGTATGGATTACAGCAGGCAGGTTGAATTAGGCATAAACATCTCGACGAAAAATTACGCAGTAAAGAAGCCATTCCTACCAGAGGAGATCCATGTGTCTACGTGAAGAATCTCCAAGAGAAAAATCTGATTGTCATCGTGGTTTATGTGGATGCCATATTGGTCGATTGGATGACATGTATCGTGATATCAAGAAATTAGTAAACTTGAAACGTCATTTGGGGCAACTATTTGACGTAAAGGATCGCGGTGAGTTTAAGCGTTGTTTTGGGGATAGACTTCCGAGTAGAAAACGGGACAATCAGCTCGAATCAAGGAACATATATTGATGAAATCCTCCGTCAGTTCAATATGTCAAATTGCAATTCTGCGTCCATCGCTACCAATACAAGACTTACCAACAGTGACATGTGGACAGACGCTGATGGCAGCAGACGTGAGCTTCGTATTAGATGTATCGTGAGCTTATTAGATGTCTGTTGAACTTGTCAGTGGGTATACGCCCAGACATTCTTCACGCCGTAAGTTCCCTGGCGCAGTATAACGATTGCTTTGGGAAGCCACATTGGGAGGCGACGAAAGGAGTGTTGTGCTACCTTACAGGCACCAGAGAACTAGAATATCGATATAAGACGGAAGTACCATAATAGTGTATGTCGACGCCGACTCCAGCGGTTCGATCGACGATAGACGATCATACTCTGGTTACGTGTTTACTATGAGCGGAGGTCCCGTGCATGGGATTCTCGAAAACAGCGCACAGTAGCGGTTTCAACCACGGAAGCTGAGTACATGGCATTGAGCAACGCCGCTAAAGTTGTACACTTGCAAAGTTTCCTGAGAGTGTTCGGTGTGACAGACGTGGGAAGCATGACGCTATACAGCGACTCCAACGATTCTCTAAGTGACTTAGACTGGCTGAAGTAGTTGAGTCTGGAGCAATGAAATTGGTGCATCTCGCGTCTGCAGATGCCGGCCGATATCCTCACCAAAGGACTGACCAAATCAAAACGACGAACACTGTGTTGGTCTCTTGGGCATGTCAATGATTACATATCCGGAAATCATCTAGAGGGAAAGTGTTGAAATTCCAATTGGGTGATACAATCTACAGCTAAGTGTATGGTTGCCTAGCGCCTTGCCTTCTGTATTTGCCCGTTTTCCCATTTTCTCTGGAGATATCTTTTGTCCAGTTATAAAAGTATGAAAGACGTGACAACAGTTTCTGTGTGTCCATTCATTTTCGTTAACTATTCGACTCCACCACAGAAGCATTTATTGAAATCAGTTGTTTTTGCCTTTAAATTAACAACAGAAATTAAAACATTACTGAAAGTTGCAGGACGTTGTTGTAGGACGCCATTGAATCTACAATATATCAACCACTTCTTACTCTATTACCGTTGAAAATCACTAGACATCATTGCTTATTAGGTCAATCTATGAAACGTGCCTGACCACGGCGACATGCGGTCACCCAAAAGAGGGAATTTGTATGTGTCTTATTCTCTGTACTAAATAAAGTAGGACATATGCATTAAAAACAAATTAAAAATAATTTTTCAACTGGTTTCAACAACTATTACGACTTAATGTAAGGATTTTTAATTTTTTTAGCTTGAAGATGTCTATAAGAATTCATAAACTGACATTCTTTCAGAAAGAAAGGTATTATAGGGCACAACGATTTTAATCCAACAAATAAAAAGAAGTAAATAATGATCAAGTACATAAATGTAGTTTAATTAATAAATCAATTCTGGGAAGTACATTATTTTTCTATGTAATTGTGGGTGTTCGAGGAATAGGATATTGTGTCACAGGAGTGTGAAACAATATCCTATTAAACTACATATCCTACATAATCCTTTTAAACTTTTACCTCTTGATCAATCACATTCAGATCTCCTCCGAAAATGACAGTTTCAGTTTCAGGAATATTTTGAACAGCTTCAAACATTTTCTTCAACTGTCTCTTTCTTTCATCCCCAAACTCACTCTCACTTTCCAGGTGAGTGTTAAAAAAATGCAATTTCAATTTTCCCACGTTAGCCTGTGAAAATAATAAACTGGAATACATAGTTTCCATAATTGAATTGGAATGACTTACTGTAAACGTATGCCTCGGGGTAAATATTCCAATGTTACCTTGTTATACACTACTATGATACTGAAGTGTACGAAATGGACAAAAATTAATGAAATTAAAAGAATAAATGCAATAATTCACAGATCAAAGATGATGTTTACTTTCTCATACACTTAGCACAGGAATAAAGAAAGTTCAGTAATGCAGATCAAAATAATTCTGTTAATGTACATAAAAATAGATACACGTTTTAGGGGCTTAAGATATCAAGAAAATATTTGTTCCGTTTTCTTTCTTTTATACGTACTGAGTATTGAGAATGTTATGTATTGCTGCGGCAAAAAAATGCTATTTTTAGACACAAAAACCCGTATAGTGGGGTTCTGATACAGAAAAAGTATATTATTCCTGTTCCAATATGTCGTAAATTACACTCTCTAAAACGTTATATATTCAAATTTAAGAAATCGTGAGTCTTTGATACCTGTGAGTTTTTTCTCTCAAAACGTCCGTCCGTCTGAACACTACAGAACTCCGATGTACACACAGCTGCACTTCAAGTGAACGAGCGTGTAATTCATTAACTGAATTGTGTTAAAAATAAATTATAATTATAAATGATACAGATCGTATAGAAGTTTTTACAGACATTATTCTTGATGACGATATCCAAAACTGTAATTGTGGCAGACGGTCATGGTTGGAATTCGGTCGCAGCTATGAGGACGACTTGCATTGCGAGTGTCACGACAACGCCAAGAGCGAGATCTCACCGAATCACGGAAGTGCATGTAAAATTAGATATTGAAAACACAATCACGTAAAACAGTACAAGGTCAAGAATGTTCTAGTTTAAGAATATTATTAAGTTTAAATAGTTCAGATATCAAAGTATAAATGGCCATTTAAAGATATATATTTCAACGGTTTAAGGTATAAATAACAGATCTGAAAAGGGGTACATAAAATGCAATTATAATATAAATGAGAAATATTATAAAATTAAATAATAGATACCATTTTGTATTTAAAATCAGCAGAGTTTTAATTAATTAAAAGACTAGTTACAGTAAATATTATTACGCTACTGTAACTTTATTCTGAATTGCGTGTTGTTATTTAGTACTATTATACTTCATGAGAACAACCTCCAACACAGGTTTTTCCCAAAATGATAAAAAATTATTACCAGCCGTGTCCTCGTAAAAGCGGTAATTTTCAGGCTCACAAAGACTAGTATCTCGTCCTCATCTACATAATACCATCCCTGAGATATGAAAGTATTGTTGGGTATTATAATAAAAACTAAGTTAGCCAAGTTTAAAATTTAAATAAAAGTATAAATACGGAGAAAATTGCATTAGTATTAAAACATAGTAATAAAAGTGAAGTGGGAAGAGTAGATATATGTCCCTGGTACCTCCCCAATTTTATATGCGAACAATTCTGATTAAAGGAAAAATTTAAGGCAAACAAATTGTATCAGTTTTGAGAAAATAATTGTTTTAAAATTGCCTACATTTCACACACTATTGTGCAAATTACTCATATTTTCGAAAAATTGTACCTTATTTAAAGATCTGTCTTTGAAGAACAGATGTCAGTAACGAAAAAATCTTCTATTTTGTATTGAAGGCCAAGGCCGAAAAAATATTGAACGTTTGTAATTTTAAAACATTCAAAAAGTTCAATGATCATGATACGTGAACCTTTTCTTTTTTTCATTCTCTGATCCATTGAAAGAAAAATTTTATCTAAAGTTTTTAACAAGTTCTGAGCAAAAGTTTTAAAATATGCTTAGGGCTTCATGTACAGAACCTACAAAAAATTAAAATATGTTTCAAATTATCAGGGACTCAAATTCATCCACTGCACTCTGGGAATATCAATTTGAGGAAACGTTTCAACGGTTTAAGCACTAACGTTCACCTCAGGTACCTGAACAGATACTTTTGGAGTAAACCAATTATTCGGTCACATGGACCCAACATGGATTCTAATTGGACAGGACAGAACGTGGATTCTGACTACGCATAATGTTGGCAGAAGTAATTAATAACAGAAACCAGAAATGTATTCACTTTTTTGGTATGAGGCCCTCACAATATGAGTTTTACTGATAAAAAGTCACCACTTTCCGCCGCATCTCCGTACTACGTTAGTATGTAGTACAACAAGAATACACACATCTCGTATTCCATCCTACATGTCTTACATTCCAATAACTTCTTTAGATTGCAAGAACGGAACAGGAAATAAATATCGCTACATTATTTACAATTTCCAGTTTTCTCAAAAAAAAATGTAAAAAGTAATACACTGGTTTTATGGCAATCATTATTAGCAAAATAGTACAAATAAAAGGTACGGCTCTATATGGTTTTATGCCATATTTCTGACACAAGTATAATTATCATAATATTGCTAACACACTTGCTACATTAATTATTATATTTAGTGCAAATATCGTGGTGCTGCTGTAAGAAATGACTCTATTATGAACACATTTCCCCTTTACTCAGTGTCGGAGAAAGCCAGATTGGAACCATTATTCCTCTTATTTCACAGAATGAATTCAATATTGAATAGTTGCTTTGTTGCTAGAACCAAACCCTTCAAATGTTTTGTATTGAATCAATTTTGTGTATTTGTTTAATTCATTAAATCAGAAATGAACACCTATGAGTATTAGGTAGCTTACCACCACATGCATCAAGTTTCTTCTCATTAATGACCCAGGAAAATCAATAATATCATATGACTCATAGTGAATTGTAAACATACTCAGCAAAACTGCAGTAAAGTACCCTTCATAGTTTCCCGGAATACACATGTATTCAGGAAACATCTCGGAAATATAACTGAAAGTTCCAGGAATAACTTCTTGCAAAAATACGACATCTGGCTTCTCCCTGAAAAATAAAATTAAAAAAACTCCATTAATATACATAGTGCATACATTTTAAAATCTGTGAGTGTGCGGAGCATCTAGAGGCAGCAGTCGTAAGTGCAATATTCGTAAGTGTGCTGTGTCCATTGACTGCTGTCTTGATTGACTGCTGTTGTTGCTACACACTGACGATTCATGTTGAAAAGATTTTGCGAAGAGTATGAGCTGCTGTTCCGCCAGTAAAAGAAAAATTTGTTGCTGGAGCAGTAGAAACTTCTGGCCGAACTCTCTCAGCAGATGCAGCAGCAGCAGCAGCAGCAGCTACAGGAACAGCAGCAGCAGGAGGAGGAGATGCTTCAGCAGCAGTAAAAGAAACTACTGCACCAACAGCACGAGCAGCAACAGATTTTGCAGCACCAGCAAAAGAAGCTACTGCAGCAATAGAAGCTGCTGAAGCAACAGCAGAAGGAAATCGCAAAAATTTCGCAATATCAGTTCCCGCAAACTCCATTTTCTCAAAAACGGCTTAAAAATGTTTTCTTCACACTTTTTCAACAGAACAGAACTGTTTAATATGACAATTATTTTTGCTGTATTCATTTTTTCAAAAATTAAATAAATATAAATATTACATCTGTTTAATTTTCATAAATAACATAAATATTACATTTTTTTAATTTTCATAAATATCACACTTGTTAACGAACTCGGATGTTGCATGTTGGCGACCGTATCGAGCAAAGCTGACGATCATGATATATGTCGGGTGTCGAAAAACGTTGACCTCTCAGTTTGTTTTTTACGTATGAGAATAAAAAGAAGTCATTCGGTGCCAAGTCCGGACTATACGGCGGATGACTCATCAAATCTATGTTTTGGGTGCTCAAAAATGCAGTTGTTTGAGCCGATGTGTGAGAGCTTGCATTGTCCTGGTGAAGAGTGATCCGTCTTCGGCGGTTGGTTTTCCTGATTTCTTGGAAGACACCTGGCAAACAAATCGTTGCGTACCACTCAGAATTGACTGTGCTGCGTTGTTCTACTAATACCGTTGCAACATGTCCAGTTTTTTCGAAAAAAACAGGCGACCATCTGTTTGGAAGTGCTTCGTGCGCGAACAACTTTTGTTGGATTTTGCTCATCTTGAAACACCCATACAGTCGACTGCTGTTTACTTTCGGGCATCCACGAACCTGTCACGATGTCATAGACGTGTTTCGAAGCACCGCGATCCTTTTTTTGAGCATTACTTTCGACCAATCGACACGATCCTTTTTTGAGCGATTGACAAATTGTGTAGGATCAAATGCGAACAATTTTTTTTTATAGTCAAATGTTCATGCAATATTGAATGTATGCTGGTCCCACTAATGTTGTCTTAATCTCACGATAGGTCGCATGACGATCTTGCAATATCAGTTCACACACAGCATCAATGGTTTTCGGAACAACTGATTTTGGACGACCTTCGCGAATTCGTCTTGGAGTGAACTACGACCACGATTGAATTCACCATACCATCGATAAACACTGGTCCTTGATGGAGCTTCATCGCCAAAAATTGAATTAAGTTCATCCATGCACTGTTGCTGAGTTAATCCACGACGAAAGTTGTAAAAAATAATCGCACGAAAATGTTCACTATTTAATTACAGTTTGGGGCTACGATGAATCTTTGAAGTTACTGCAAACAATACAAATAGCGCTCCTATGTCAAAACGTACTGAGTACGTATAACCACAAAACATCCAACTTTACGATAGAGCTGTCAGTTGCCAGATTGCAACACCAATATTGCCGAATCCCGAAACATAAAAGGCAACCTTCGTATATAGGAAACTACTAAAATTTTCAAAAAAATGTACATGACAAATATTTAATTGCAGAGAAAAGACTACACTCTAAGAAAAAGTCTCTATCTTTAAATTTGTAGTTGTGGGAAGACAATGGAAAAAATCCAAACTTTTGCAATTTTCTAAAATTTAGAGTTAAAAGTGAAAATTAGACCTTTATAAGCGTGTTTTACTAATATTTTTCAAGAAATGTAAGGAAAAAATTTGGATCCCTTTTTGAGAAAATTTTGAACAGGTCCGGGGACCTTCACGTAAATTCCCCCCAAATTTTGAAGAATGTTTTTTCAAAATCTGAAAGTTTCGACTCGCGCCAGATGGATAGGGGTTTCACCAATTTGAAGGGAAAAAACCTAGCCATGGTTTAAGAGATGGTAGTGTTCACAGACACCAGACGAACGGGACGGGACGCGACGAGATGGACGGATGGGGGACAGACGGCAAACGGATCGACTCGAGCCAGATGGATAGGGGTTTCATCAATTTGGAAAAAAACCTTACGCATGGTTTAGGAGATACTAGTGATCACAGACACCAGACGGGACGGACGGATGGGAGACAGACGGCAAACGGATGTGCGGCGGATGGACGGACGTTTTGAAAAACTAGACAGATGAACGGATATACACTTCACAGACGGACGGGCGGACATACACAGAGACAGACACAGGCAGACTGGCACAGACACAGACACAGGCAGACTGGCACAGACACACAGACAGACACACACACACACACACACACACACACAGACACACACACAGACACACACGCACGCACGCACACACACACACACAGACACACACGCACGCACGCACACACACACGGACGAACGGACGGACGGACGGACGGACGGACGGACGGACGGACGGACGGACGGACGGACGGACAGACAGACAGACTTATCTTATACTACGTATATTACTGCGTATTTTCGTATTTATACGGGGATGTTAACAGCTATAGCGAACCCCTCTTTCAAAAATGTCATTAAACAGTCTCTATCCTCCCAAAACCGAGTAATACTGCACAATAAAAAAAATACCCACTCTAAAACTTCACCCTTCCAATTCCATCCGCGAACGCATAATCATACGAACGCAATCCGTAGCTCTAAAGTAACCCTTAGCAACATTTCACCTTCAACAAAATAACACATCCATCACCACCACATTTCTTACCTCACTAAAATAAACTTTAAGTTCTGTCTATCCTAAATAAAATAATCAATCAAAATAATCCTTCAAAAACTCCGTCAACAAAATAGCAATTCTATTACATGCAAAATTAAAATAAAATTAAATAATTACCAATACATCCCAACAATAAACAAACAATAGCCCTTCCTTGCAATGAATATAAATTTGCATTCTTACCTGGTCTTCCTGAGGAAGGGAAGGATTTTTTAAGAAACTTAGTTTAAAAAACAACAATAGTGGAAGGGCGCAGTGGTGGGCAGACAAAAAAAGTTAAAATAAAGAAGAAGATTGAGTGCACTATAATTAGGGTTTAATTAATATGAATGTACAAGCAGACTCCTTCACAATGAACTAATCAAAATGTTTCAACTATAAACTTTGAGAACAGTCATTGCAAGTTTTCAAAGATCTGTCATATCTCCAAAATATTACGTGTGTGTGAAATGAAATCACATAATATATGGGATCTCCTCAAACAGCCATTTTCATTAGGTGATAATCTTTATTAAAGGCAATCTTCTCATGGAGACTTATTGATTTTTCCATTAAGCAATGGGTATATAAGAGCTCCTCATGAAAGTTTTTAACACTGTAATGCCTTAAATGCGATTATGGGTGCCATAAAACCAAATAAATTTTCCCTCAAATTTTACATTTAAAAAATAAATTGTGCAGAAACATACACTGCCCACAAAAGATACCTAGGTGTTTCACATACATGAAAATAATTTTTTGAAATATACCAAACTTTTAAAAATATGTTCAGAAAAAATATTGTTTGCCTTCTTTCTTCAAGTAATGTTCATTAAAATACAAAATAAAATTAGATCAAATAACATATGCAAAGATCTTTAAGCTGATATTGCTGAGGCAGTAGTGTTGTGGCGATCTTGAACAGAAAAAATCGCCTGCCTCGGGCATGGGTTTGTTTGTGTTGTGCTTGTGTTGTCCTAACGTGTTATGTTCCAAAAGATGCAAAAAAAAAATGTAGCAACCACATTGGTGTCACTGTCCTTTTAAATTATTGACCCAAGTGCAAGAGTTCCAGTAGAACGATGTTTACACATTGAAAACTCCACAAGTATCATGATCTCTGCTGATGCTGATCCCCTATGTTTCATTAACTATTCAAGCTTAAAAATTTGATTAAATTCTGAATTTAAAAAAGTCCACCAAAAATGTCCTTTTTATCAAACAATCCCATTCGCAATATCAATACAAAAACAAATTCCAGGCACATTTTTTCCTCTTTAACTTGTATGGCCATTCATTCACTCATTCATATTTGCATGTTAATGCCCGAGTTGGTATTTAAAATGCAAAGGGAAAAAAAGTCTAAAAATGTCACTTACTGGAAAAGTATTTCACAAACAGCTTTTGTCCTACTTCCCAAATAGTGATCATTGATACCATTCAGATTCCAACTAATTACAGACAATTGGGAAGGTGGTCTTGTTGTTAGCTGATCCAGACCATATGCTTCAAACTTTGATGCACTCAAACAAAGTGAAAGTATGATGGAGAAGATAGATCCATATCTAAACATCCATACATAACCAAGACTAGTTTCAAACATAATTATTAATTTAACTTTTATGATTTTAATTTCAGTTTTCAATTTCAAAATCATAATGACAACTAACAAAATATAAAACAGTCGAAAAGCTATTACACAGAAACAAATGACAAGAATTATGGATTGTTATTTGACTGTATATCACAGAGCACATATAATAAAAGTAGATAATTGTTGTAGCTGGTTCTTCAGCAATATAAACAATAAATACAGTCAGTCAATACATTAAGTTAATACCATGAAAATAATTTTCTAATTTCATTCAAAACCAAAAATTTAAATAAATGTTTAATATAGTATCTGTAAAAACTGACCAATGAACGAATTGGTCCTTTTGAATCTCAGTACTGCATGTAATTACACGTATTATGTTCAAGTAAAAATATGACAAAGGCAGATAATAGATACAAAAATATTTATACAATTATAATAATTACTACTGCAATAAGACAATTTCATTTTGTACTGTAACGTTTCTCGTTGTGAATTAAAACCAACACAATATTTTAAACAACGTTTATTCGTAAACAATTAAACACTAAAATCTACTACCACTAAAAACTACTTAGTCTATTTACAGATATATTACACTTAATTATTTTTCTTTACACACGACTCTGTTCTGTTGATTATTTTTTTTACACAGATCACTTCTTACACACTATTTATTTACACTGTTCTCTTCTTCTACAGTATCACCCAGTCTGATGCACTGTCCACGGTGCACTGCACCGACCCCAATTCCCTGCGCAGACCACGATTCCCTGCGCAGATCACACTTCACTGCGCAGACCACACTTCACTGCGCAGACCACACTTCACAGAGCAGACCACACTTCACTGCGCAGACCACACTTCACTGCTGTTTACCGCGATGCATAGCTCAGCTTCACTGCTCACAGCTCAGCTTCCACTGCAGACTTCAAACCGCTGACTGCTGTTTCCTTATGCTTTCCAACATTTTCACAGTACTTTAATCAATAATTTATATTTATTATAAATACATTTTGCAACTATTTAAACCTGTAAGAATGATGTAGTTGTATTATTATAATAGCAAATAATGTTAAATTCTTTGTTTCAGGTTCATGAAAATCACACTTTTCCTCAAGTAGCTAAGTACTTAAAGAAGTTGCTATAATTTTTTACGATTGTGTTTTACATTCATAATAAATTAAAATGTAATTAACCATATACTGACATGCTCGAATGCCTCCCCTGACGAGAAATGCAAAAATCTAATTATCTCAATAAACTGTTCGTCTGGCATTGTTCACTCCCCTTTTTAGGGCCTCAATTCCACTTGTAAATTATTTACATTTAAAATGAAAACCAAAACCAAGGGGACATACTCAAAACCAAATGAAAACCACAATTTTATAAAAAATGTCACATTTCAAACCTGGTGATACTCCAACACCACATACTTTTTCAAATTATTTCCAACTGCACTTTCCAAAATTAAGAGAATTCAATGCAAATTAGATCTACGATATTTTTTAAGCATCCTTTACTCTATCTATGGAGAAACATTAAAAGAAAAATATGAAGCTATTTCGGATTTTTTTTATTGCAATCCATTTTTTTACCACTATTGTATTTGTATGGCAGTGCACTTTGCATTTTTGCTCCTCCTATTTTTGTTAATTTTTCATCAATTGCCAATGTATCCTGTTTTCAATAATTGTATCTGCTGATTAAATCATAATTCACTGAATACTTTTGGCATACAAAATCAATAATTACTCCCGATATTTTTTCTTACCCCAGCTTTTATAGAACTCAATAAAATGAAAAACGAACACATATCATTAAAATTATGAATCATGAAACAATTGCGAATTTTTTTAAATATATTACTGTACTTATTTCCCCATTTTAATTTAATCTAAGAGCAGGGTTACCAGAAAAATAATTCCCAATTAGGGGACATACTCAAAAAAAAAGAGAACATTTCAATGAAAAAGAGGACATTTTACATTTTTATACATCATGTTGTATAGACAATATACACAATTCCAAACCGTTAATAGACTTTAAAAAGCATATTAGACTTTGCGCTATTAAAAATGAAAGCTTGATTGGATAACTTCGCACCTGCACTCAACTTCATTATCAACCAAGCAATAAGCATGAATAAGTTTTATATCACAATAAGCCCAATTATGGGTAAAGCTGAAAATTAAAACCCTGCAAAAGCACACATTTCAGATCATTAAAATAGGGCACTGGCGTCAAATTTATTGTTGAACTGCATCCCATCACACAACTACCATGGAGGAGAATATATTTACTTTCCTGTATATTTATTTATTTATGTCAAAAACAGTTAAAAACTGTGTGGGACCTGCGATTAGGAGAAATTACATTTACGTCCAGAAGCAAAACAAGAGGCCATCTCAATATTTGCTCAAAGATCAGGAAAACTGGACGAAAACCTGATTGAGATGGGGGTCATTGACCCAACAGCTGAAGTACAGTACTTGTTACAGCTTCTTTAGAATTGTACAATCCAAATGGTAAATAATACATTAAATGCCATTGTTAAATTAAAATTACTTTCCTTTTGGATGCTCGGTATAGTCTCTAATTGTATAGAAACAGTTGGGCAGCAGAAAATATTTTACTCGGGACTTAAACTTTTGTATCGAAATTAATTGTATAATGTCATCTGGCAAGGTGTTGTAAAATAATGTACATATATTGCATGTGACTTTTTTTGTAGTGAGCTGTCCGATGGTCACCTGATGAATACGATTACTATGTTGCGTGTTTGTAGTAATTGAATCAGCGTTTGCTGAAATTATATTCTCGCCCTTGACAAAACCACTGATTCATATATCAAGACACAAGGTAATGGTAAGATACCTAGATTAATAAAGAAGGCTTACAAGAATACGTGGGTGAGATTTGCTTATTATTTCTTAGAATTCTTTTTTGTAATCTAAAGAAAGGACTGGGAGCTAAGATATATTTCACCGGAATATTTGCTATATCTCAGGTGGAGATGAAATTCGCGAAATATACACAATGAGCAGTAGTGGAGGCAACTGAAAGATGAAAGATTCTGAGAGCGTAGTATAAGAACATAATTTAGGTGTTCAATTCATTTAAATGGTTCATTTAAGGTTTGGGCTGAATTGAAAGATCTAAAAATGTTTGTTACATTATCATCAGTCAATGGCACACCATTCATTTTCTATGAGTACAGAACTGTATATTTGAAATGGATAACTGCATTGAAACAGTTTCTTTTCATTACTATTACTTTTTAATAATAGAACCATTTGAAATATAATATTGTAGTATTTACTGTTTCTTTATTGCAAAAAATATTCATGTCATCCGCAAAGAGAACTGTTTTTCTCATTTTCTAATCGTCGAGGGCATATTCGTTTACAAATAGTAGAAAGAGAATGGGCTTATATCAAAATTGGCTGCAGGACTCACATGCAATTGGCAAAGAATCGGAAAGGTGTGTACATAATGTTCCATTATTCCAGTAAGGTATTCTATTCTCTGAAATCGTTTAAGGTACGAGCACAACCAATGTAGAGCAATACCACGAATTCCGTATGAATATAAGTGTGAAAGTAAAATGTTATGATCGATGACGACAAAAGCGTTTGAAGGATCTAAATTTATTCCATTAGGTGCTCGTCTTTATTTATGGATGAAACGACATCTTTAAGAAAAAAATTATGGTTGTTTCTATACATACGTAGATAGAATATACGTATTATAGAAAGTTATTTAATGGTGCGGGAAATGGATTTTGAGAAATCAAAGGAAACACGATTTGGGGTCCCCTGATACCAAAAAATGATTGTTGTCCGTCCATTTGGCTGAATGTCCATCTTGTCTGATGTATGAGAACAAGTAGCACGTAAACCAAGCGTAGGATTTTTTCCAAATTGAAGAAATCCCTGACCTAAGTTGATGCATTGCGATTCTGAAAATCATTCATTTTGGGGAGTTTTTTATATGACGCCCTTGGGACATTTCCAAATTTTCTGAAAAATGGTGCCAAATTTTTTTTTTTAAATTTCCTCTAAGAATAGAGAAAATAACACCCACAAAGGCAGTGTAGGTCCGATTTGCACGGTTAACTCGCACGCTTAATTTTCAAAAATTGCAAAGGTATAACTTGAAAATAATTTAATCAAATCCATATTCTGAAATAACGTTATAAAATACTTGATAATCAGCATTTTCATTCAATGAATTATCTATGATTGCTGGAAAGAAACACATGTTCGAATATTTACTCTACCATTTATGGTACTCTAAGGTCTAATGAGAGCATTTTAATTTATATTTAGTTTACGACCTTTTGACGAAATGCTGGTAATGTTTACACATTTTGTCGATTATTAACATTATTATTATTATAAAAGAAGAAAACATTTTTATAGTAATCAAATATTCCTTCACATGCTAATGGGGATAGATTCAATATCTTGTAAGATATTGTTTATTTCATTACAAGTAATGCTTTTTCTAATCGTTAGCAAAATTATGTTTTTTAAAAACAAATATTTACACAAATTATTAGTTTGGTTGGTTTCACAATACGTGTACTTTTATAGGGGTCTTGCTAAACTATTTATTGATTTACTGTTCCAAGAAGCCTTCGATTATTCGATCGATATTATTTAAGGACGCAGATGTTGAAGCCGTTTTCATTGCTCCATCGGATGCTAGTATTTTTTCTGACGAAGATAACGGTGGTATTCCTGTCAGTTTCAGTAATCGACACAACGTAAATAATAATGATTTCAAGCCTGTCAATACCGACAAATTTGGGAAAAATCAGTCAGGAAAATTCAGAGCACACATACACATAAATGTAAAAATGACATTTTTTTATTTTTTATTTTTGAAGTAGGAGTTCCAACAGCACATACTTTCTCGCATTATTAGTGGTGCTCAAACTAGTCAAAAGCACAGGAAGAAAATCTTCACCCTTACCAGAATTCAGGTCCAATGCATAATTCAAAAACTCTTGAATTTCTAATGTTGAGTCCTGAATTTGACATCTGTATGTCTTTTAAATGTCTGTTTATCTTGCTGACAGCATGAACACTACTTACAAGACCTTCTGAACATAAATGACAATTCCCGCAAATGTGAATATCTAATCGCTTCCAGGAAAAATTGTAAATACTTGCAAAAATTAGAAGCTCACATTGGCGATTGTCCTGTCACCACCATGACACAAATAAGCAGGTGTGCAGGTGTGTGTTCTAGAAGCCAACAAATGTCAGAAAGATGTTTGCAGCCTGTCAAGCAAAGATAAATGTAGATGAAGGTAGATGAAAGTCCTTAAGCAGTAAAATGAAGATGACATCTCAGATACGTCCTTAGGATCATAAGTGTTAAAAGTAATTTTTCTAATTTGTACTATTTATCGTGTTTATCTGTAATATATTCACGTCTACCACTTTAGTTTTTCCTTTACTCTAATTCAGAATTTGTAGCCCCCTAAAAATTTTATATAAGAGTTTTATTGTATCTATGAAAATAAAATGTTTAATTACATAACATTACAGGCCTCTTTCACACCTTCCAAGGGAACCCTGACACCCCCTAACGCACCCATACGTCCAGAAAGTTTAAAAAAAAGTCCCCCCCCCATATTCAGCACATCTTACAACATCTATACAAAAATGTCACAGCACTGCTTTGACAAATATATCTTTCAAGGATTTGTCATAATTTGCTGCCAAATATTCATACCATCACATTTGTAGGTTACAAGTAATAACTACATACCCAAACAAGTTGGGGTATGTATGTTCTGGGATTCAACATGCCTTGGAATTCGGCTCAGAGGAGAAAATAATCCAACTCTCACAGAGCAAGTGTGAGCAATTACAGTTTTCAATGTTTTGGCTACAGTTTGCCTTTGCTTAATTACAGTTGCTCAATTTTTTTAATAACACATGAGAATAAAAATCAACATCAACATTGAGTAAAAATTTGTTTCACAGTAGATAATTTGCGGGCAATGTAAGTATAGATGGTACAAGTTTAAACGCCCTTTATTTACAATTCATTTTACATGAATTAAATTCCAAAAGTTGTTTCTGCTTAAAGATACTTTGTTCATAGACTATTCATATCAGCATATTATCATGTAGGCATTAAAAGAAATGTCTAACAATCATGTACATACGAAAACTTTCAAACAATTCTAGTTATATCAGAAGGGTTTTTTGATTTGAAAATTGCCCATTGCCTAAGGTCTCCAAAATCATTATCAAAGTTGTAAATCCAATCTTCCCATCCAAAAGTGAATCGCATACCTTGTAATAACTCTAGATTATCTATGTACATATTAAATCTTCATGCAAACATTTTACTTATGTTATTGGCATGTCAGATTCTAGAAATTACTTCCATTACAATGTGTTTCAAAATATAGGGAAGAGAGCAAACTGCTCTGCTGGAAAATTTATAATACAAAAACTGGAATTTATTTTAGAAGTGCTTCCCTTATTTATTGACGATACATCAAAATTATTACAAAGAAATATAGAATGTTAACTAAGAATTGTTTTTGATCCAAGGTAAGCGAAAATCAGAAAGCAAATTGTCAATTTAAATGTCTCCAATGAGGAAGTGATAATGGCCATTGGAACAGAAATTAAAATTTTTTAAATCTTTTATTAAAAACTATTTAAATGTGTTCTATATTGTTTTTTCTAAATGAACTTTGTGATAACACAAAAATAATATTATTAAAAGAGGGATCGGAGAAAAGAGACAAAACCTGCAACCTTATAAACTGTCTCATGCATTGTTTTCTCATTAGAAATTTCGTTTATGCCTTTCTTTCCATTACATTTCATGTAAATCAATTATACTTTTAGAACACTTTTTTTCTTTTATTGTAAAAAGACATATTCAAATAGATTACATTGGATTTGGAAAATAGAGAATTTTGTGAAATTATAGTGCAGATTATCTCTAGCAATTAATGTAACTGTTAACTAGATATGAACATATGGAAGGGCTATAACACAAGTAAAACTATTCAGGAAAGTCTTTAGCATCGTATCATATAAAGAAGTTGTCACCCAAACAATCTTCACTATATCAAAGTAATATTAAATCTATGAAACAATCTGTTATAAAAAATAAGTCAACACAATTTGAAATAAAAAGAAAATAGAAAAATATAATCACTTTATCCTGGTACACATGTAGAGTATATAAAACATTTATACAACAAAATCAGAAATGAAAATGTGGTTAAACCCTATATTCAAAATAAAGAAACATAGGAACTCATCTGGGCCTGAAAATAACAAAGATTTCAAAATTGCAAACTTTTTTCCATCATAAATGTTAGAATTTAACCATACATTAACAAGGATATTTACTGACATTGTACACTTGAAAATTTAATAAGTTCACCAAAAAAAGTTTTTTATGGATCACTTTAGGCTGTTTCCATTTGAAAAAAGGCTTGAAGAGCCCAGTGATCACTAGGATATGACTGAGTCATGATCACTTTCTGAATGCCAAGTAAACCAAAATGCTTCGGCACAAGCGCTCGAGGATGAGCATGACGAACATATAGGCGATCAAATCTGCATTTTGGTTTGAATCTTCCAGGAAACTCTTTATTTGTATTTCGCTGCATATCCCATGTGTACTGGCATTCTTTCCTCGATCCACAGATTTTCCATATGTCATCAATTCCAGGAGGAATTCCACCAAGAGAATCCAACTGCACAAAACAAAATAAGTTTAATACAAATTATCACACAAGAAATTCATGACTGAAACGTACAACAATTAAATTCAATAAGAAATGTCTTCAATTATTTGGGATGCAATGCAATTGTTTTACTTAGAAAAAAAAGGACATTTTACAATATTTAACCATTTTCAAGCAATGTAATAGTACTAGCAAATTTTATGATCAAGGATGGAAAATGATTTAATGATGAACGTTCGACATTACAAAGGTATTTTGTTTGTTAGTTTGTAAGCCACTTCACTTCCTCAGATACACTGTAGTTATTTCCTTTCTCGAAAATATCTACAAATTTTTTCTTTATTTTTTTTCCTTGAACAGAGGGGAAATGCTGATAAAAATAGAACAGGTCTTAATTTCACTAAAGCCTGTTTTTTTTAACTTCCAAAAGTTAAAACTATAATTACATCCCATTAAAACAATTATATTAGGGAAGAACAAAATCTGTTCTTCATAATGAGATATTTAAATGATGTCGGTCTTGCATTACTTTCAGTGGAATCAAGATAATTTATCAAAACACACACAATTTTTTTTCAAAAACTTTTTTTTCTTTTAAATTTTTCAATGTATAGAGCTGAATCAAAGGACAAAAGCATCGTTCCGATTAAAACTTTTAATTTTTTTAAAATTACAAATATATACATTTTTTAAACAACTTGCATTAATACTTATGTTACATATATAATTTAATGCAATTGCGAGTAAATAAGAACAATTTGTAAGCTTAAAATAATATCTGAAAAAGGTTTCTAAATATCATGAAAAAACTGAATCCCAATGCTCAAATTTGTGCATCTTCAAAAATGCTCAAACAAAAATATCTCCACAATATTTCCTTAAAATATTCATATGTAAGGACGTTTTGCTAAGAGACTCTGTGTCAATTCTATTCAACTATTAGAGGATAAAATATTGAGAAAATGTGAAACTAGTGGTACAACAACCTAAACCATGCTACTTTTAGAAAGAAAAAACCAACCAACCAACCAAACAAAGTTAACCTAGCAACCTTCAAAAATTGGTTGCCTTTTAAAACACAGCAGAACACATCCAATCTGATCCGCTTTCTTTTTTCTTTTTTTAAAGTTTTTCCCTAGTTTTCCAGGTTTGAAAATAACAATTTTGCAGGTCCTGTTTCATACATTACAACATATTTTTTTCAGTTCCTTACAGTACCGAACTATTTTTCTCATGCAGCTTTTCTCTCAACTGAGGAGAACAAGGTAAAATTTTGTACAAAAATAAGCTTTAAAGAAAATTCACATAATTTTTGTGTTTCTTGGAAACAGATGTTATTCATTAATAGACTCTGCTTGAAATGTTTAAAAAACTACTATTTCTACCGAAATTCTCTGAACTGATGTCAATGCAGGGCTTGACGTACTGTATTCCTTATATTGGATCGGAAACGTGATGGTTCTACTAAGAATAACATTAGATTTCAACGCGCAAGTAGGAATATTATTTTCAAAATGGACATTCCGCTGTCAATGTGACTTAACAGTCCTAACAAATTTTGAGGATAACTAGATTCTCTGATGTACGTATTCCATTTTAAGATAACAAAAAAAGGTTAATTTTTCTTTATTACACGGGAATAGGAAAAGAACATTTAATAACATTGTAAGATTTACTCTTTTTTTTATCATTATATTTGCTTGAAACTTCCTATCTTAATTTTTGGAAATTTGAAGATATCATAATAGATTTTGATACAACAATTTTAAAAACATGTTTAGTGATAGTGTTGGTGTTTGTGAAAATTTGCAACACCCAAAAGGAATGGTCGGAATTAATTAAAAAATCGGTAGATGTTTAAAACAGCAAATCCATACGAAGTAATTAAATTTGCATAGAGATGGCGTGCACGTTGACTTCGCAGCGTCCTCCTTTGTGAGACAAACCAGGTCAGCTAACGCCACACTCGGTCGGTGTAGAGCGGTCAAATTACGTTGCATGCGCAAGCGAAAGCTGGTATGCCTCGTCGACACCAAAGGGCACAGTATCGGCAACTGATTGAGTTTGAACGAGGCAGAATGATCGAACTCTGGGACGCGGGTTTGTTGAACTGTGACATTGTGGCTCGAACGGGGAGTACTGGTACGACAGTGATGCATGTGACCACAGAGTGAGACAACACAATGTGATCACAGAGCGAGATGACCGCCATCTTGTCTGCATTGCCGTAACCGACAGAACGGCGTCGTCCATAGTGTTGGCTCGACTTTGGAGCACTGCAACGGGTGTGGTCATATCTGCGTCGACGGTTCGACGGCGTTTGCTAAGGGCTGGACTGGTGGCACGCATACCATTGCTTCGGATTCCGCTGACCAGAAACCACCATTGCCTCAGAGAGCAATGGGAACTTAAACGTGTTCACTAGTGTGCCGAGTGGCAAAATGAAGTGTTTTCGGACGAGTCCCAATTCAATTTGTGCTACAGCGATGACCGCGAAGGTGTTCGACACTTCCGTAGCGATTGCAATCTGCCACCTACCTTGTTCCGCGCCTTAGCGGACAAACGTCATGTGTGATGGTTTCGAGCGTCTTTGGCTACATTGTGCGATCTCGCCTCATACGTACTGAGGACAATCTGAACAGCAACCGCTAAATCAGGGAGGTTTTAGAGCCAGGGGTATTGCCCCTCCTGCAAGCAGCTTCACATGCCACATTTCTGCAGGGCAATGCGCGACCGCATGTGGCGAGGAATATGCTGACTTTCTGCGAAGAACAACGGATACTACTGCTTCCCTGGCCTGCACGTTCGCCTGACCAATGCAGAATCGTTGTGACATTGTTGTAGCCAACACTTATGTAAGGAAGATAAATTAACATATATTCCTTGACAAAGCTAAAGGATCGTCATTTTTTTCTACAACAAGGCGTCAAATAATTGACGTTCATTAAAATGAAGATACTCATAACATCATCGACGAAGGGTGGTGAAATCGGTGAACCGCGGTCTGTTAACGTAGTGTCCGGGTCACTGCTTCCTAAATCGTGGGCTGAGAACAGGGTGGTGCGCTTGGAGCGAAACACCGTCAAGATCATTTTCTTCGTGCTCCCTGTCATTTTGGACACTGTCACAATCTCCGGATATAAGCAATACCCGGATAGCTTCATCCGCGATCTTCTCTCTTTGAATATCACGAAGATGATAAAATGGACGATTCGATCGGGAAAATTGCAAATTGATACCGCCGATGTCATCAAAGAAGTAGCAAGACGCCAACCGAAGCACAGCGATAGAGTTCCCAATAAGAGGTTTGTTCCACGAATATCTCGTCCGTGCACGTGCTACACACAACCAAACACGCGCTGTCTGGTGCCACCTACTCTACCTGTTGCGCCTACCACGACTTCAGTGTTTGAAGTCGTCTGACCCGGAAGTCAAGGACAGCTATCCTAAATCATACATTTATGTTATTTTTCATACATTCATTTACCGTGTACCGAGTTGAATTATGCACATTACGGAATGCGATGACGTATGTGAATTGTATGCTTAAGTTGGCGATAAATCCAGTGGCGGCTCTGGGATTAGGCAACAGGGAGGGCACACAAAGTAACAGGATCAAACAATGTTAGGCATTTGAAAAATTGTTATATTTGGATTAAGTCACATAAGTAATATTTACAATCGAATTATCTTCCCGGAAGACAGGCTAAACACATGATCTATAAATTAAATTGAGTCTTCTGTAGTTACATTCTGTAAATCTATTACTAATTCTTCAAAATTAAATGAGTCTCGTAACAAAACTCTTTATAATGAAAACATACAAAGTCCATTCAATCTCTCTTCCCACATGATATTTCTTAAAATGTCTATAATCTTTTCAAAGAGAAAAAGCTCTCTCGAATTCTTTTATGTAGCACATCCAGCTCAGATTTCGGTTTGCTAGCTCACGAACGGAGAGTACTGTGAAACGCGATCAACCTTTTGGCCCAATTCTCTTCATGCACAGCCTTGTATCATAACCACATTGATTGTTTTCAGGCATTTTACACAATTGGAAACCATTCTCAATCTCAATGCAATACGAACTGGACGCAAAGATCGGAATACAGCATTCACAAAGTTTGTCTACGGATCGGAAAGATGATGCCGATTATGCCGATTATGCCGATTGCACACTACTGCGCTAAATTGTTGTGAAAAGGGAGATCAGTTAATCAGAATACCAGCAGATAGCACAACACTATGTTTAGGACACAGAGGCGAGTGTTCGCAGCCAATGAAAATCTACGGAACAAGCGGGAGTTTGAAAGCAAAAGATGTGTTCGATTCGAAAACAACCCTACAGACCCACAGAGGTTATTTTAGACAGCGCAAGGGGAGAAATACAGATCTAAGTAGGGGGGGCAGTGTACCTAGCGCCTCCCTGCCGCAGCCACCACTGGATAAATCAGGAAATAACGAAAAAAATAGTTTTTCAAATCAAATTCACGGTTTCTCAAGGATTATTTTTTTCGGGTTTTACCCCGGTTTTCAAGGATTCCAGGTTCACTGGCCACCTGTATGTGGTATACCTTCCATTTCTGCAACCCTTCGTCAGCTGTGTGTCATCGGGTTTCAGGGTGGAGGAATGCGGCAATTTAAGTTGGAGGAAGAAAAAATCTTTTCAGTCCTTGGGCAGTAATTCATCTGTCCATGATTGTGTCCATTCAGAAGCAAATTCCACTTCAGACACAACATCGGTAACCAAGCTGCCACAGGTCACTTGAGAGGTGTCTAGGGTTTTAGGCACGCAGGAACTCGAGAAAAAATACAAAAACTCTATATTACTAATTTCGAATATTGACATAAATTGCTGGAAAACTAAGGAATCTCTGATTATGAGATAGGTGACTCATTTTGTTAAATACCCGGAAATGAGGAAAAATCCAAAAATAATAAAGCAGTTTCAATTTTAACAAACATTGCAAATGTTTGATCATTTTAATCAGAAATTTCTCAAATTTGAT